AATGTTGGTGATTGTTCCAGGATATGTTAATGATTGGCTGTAACTTTCGAAAGCATTCTCAGGTCCTGATATATACGACATGTAAACATCAGTAGTAAACGGACGACTTGTGAATGAGCATAATACAATTGCTGTAACTACGGCCGAAATTGCTAAAAAATTCTTTTTCATGTTTTAAGTTTTAAGGTTTGATCTTTGGTACCTACTCATTTTTCCAGGTTTTTCGGTTTACAACCTTCCACTATTATCGATAACGGCGCCTTTACTTGTCCGGTTCCAAATGCAATGCTCCATTCTATTCAATGTGCATCTTATGCCGCGCAACTAAACGACAATCCTTCTGAACTATATAAGAAAAGCAAAAATTGAGATTTAAAAACAAAATGAAACAGTGTGGACCGCCTGGTCTCGGAAAGACACTTTAGATGATGTCTAAATAACTGTAGATAACCACCTTTTTATTCTACCGAAAGATTGATGTCAATCGGAAAAACAAGCTGGCTCATTCAAAAGGGTGAATGAACCAGCTTGAACTGTAGCTATTTTAATTCAATTGTAATACCATCTTCAGTTTCATCACTGAGAAGGTTAGCTCCATCATTGGCAATATCAACCACTTCAAATTCAGCAGGGAATTCAGCTGCAGTTACGATCCCGTCATTGTCAACGAACTTTGCCCAGACAATTGTCAAAGGAGCAATATTCATTACAGAGGCAGGTTTTGATGCCTGCTGGCTGTAACTGGCAAATGCATTCTCAGTACCACCGTTGTAAACCATGTACACATCAGATAGTAAATGGACGGCTTGTAAAAGAACACAGTACAATAGCTGTCACTACGGCTGAAATAGCTAAAAAATTCTTTTTCATGCTTTTAAGTTTTAAGATTTGATCTTTGGTGCCTACTCATTTTTCCAGGTTTTTCGGCTTACAACCTGCCGCTGTCATCACTGACAACGATTGTACTGGCTGCTGTTGCAACAACAACCGGTGTATTGCGCAATGATTTATAAATATTCTATGTATAAGCAATATCTGACGGCACCTTTCTCCGGGTACTCTTTCCATTCGACACGGTTATGACTATTGCTATCAGGCCAAGAACGAACAGCGTTATAGCAAGTCCCCACCGTTGCGGTTCACTGATATCATTTAAAATACCT